GCTGGGATTACAGGCATGTGCCACCATGTGTGGTCTAGAAGAGCATTTTGAGTGGAAATCAAGAACACTGTCCCCTTGGCAGGTTTCCTTGCTGGGTATGGGGGCACACACCTGTAGTCTCAGCACTTGGGAAGCTGTCTCAAAAAAAAAAAAAAAGAAAGAAAGCTGTTCCTTTCTGGTGATCTAGGGGAGGGGGACTGAGTCAGTTCTTAGAGCTCTAGGGACAGTAGACTGAACCCGTCCTTTGGGTTAAAATTTTTTCCAATATAAAAATAATACAGGCTGACGCGGGTGTGGTGGTGCACGCCTGTAATCCCAGCACTCAGGAGGCTGAGGCAGGAGGATTGTTGCAAGTTCAAGGCCAGCCTGGGCTACATAAATGAGTTCAACGCCAGCCTAAACTGCATAGTGAGACCCTGTCTCAAAAAGACAACAAACAAATAAACAAATAAAGAAACTAGGCTGACTAAAGCAGGATTGGAATGTGGAAAATACGAGTTCATCTTGAACGCTAGCACTTGGGGCAGACTTTTTGTCTTGGGCAGCTCCTATGGATGGACAGATGTGCACTGTCTTCAGACACTCAGAAGTGTGCCTACATCCCCAGTCATTTGGGGGACTCTAGCCAAGTCTTTCAAGCCTTAGGTTCTTCACTTGCAAAACAGGATGAAATCAAAGCTTTTTGGGCGTGGTGGCGCATACCTGTAATCCCAGCGCTTAAAGGCTGAGGCAGTTGGATTGGTTGGAGTTTGAAGCCAGCCTGAAGTACATAGCAAGACCCTGTCTCAAGAAACCAAACCAAACCAAACCACTCCCTCCCCCACCCCCCACAAAAAAAAAACCCAAAGAAAAAAACCAGAGCACAAAATGAACCAAGGCAGCCTACTGTCCCCTCCAACAAAGCCATAAGTGCCGTGTCACAAGACAGCGGGTAGCAGAACCTCATGCCGGCTTGGGCCAGGTGTGAGTCTTTCTAAATATGCCCGCCTTTCCCTCCTTTGCTCCCATCCTAAACTCGCATGGGTCACCAGCACCCAGCACAGTACTGCGAATTTCACTGGCGAACCAGTGACGGGGAAAGGGAGATGGACCACTGCAGGCGGAGAGAAGTCTGCGGGAAGGGGCCCTGACTAGTAAGAGAAGCGGGGGTGGGGTGGGGTGGGGGGCAAGGGCGGGCCCCGAGGGAGGAGGCAGCTCAAGGGAAGGTGTCATCGGAAGGAGCGAGGCTTGGCGGGCCCATGGCGACAGACATACACGGCCAGTCTGGAGTGGAAAGAACAGTTTATGCTGTGCTTTATTAAAATGTGCATCATTCTTTTATTTTAAAATGTGCATCATTGTCTCGTGCTCGGCGTGCGGCCTCGTCCCGCCCGGCTCCCGCGGAGCCGCCGTGCGCAGGGGCGCTCAGGTGTCGCGGGCCCGCGGGCTCCCGCCCATGGCCAGGTAGACGTCGATGGGCACGTGCAGCAGCGTCAGGCAGTGGCAGCCGGGGCAGCGTCGCAGCGGCCTGCAGAGAGTGACGCGCCACAGGGGGCGCTGAGGTGCGGGCCGGGCCCCCGCTGCTGGGGCGCGCCGAGGCGGCACCCGGGGTCCTCCGGGGCTGGGGCGCGACCTGGGGACCCTGGCGTGGGAAGCGGGGCGGGCCGGGGCGGCCAGGCCTCACCTGACCGGGTTGTGCTCGGTAGCTACCGGCTCCGGGCTGTCCTGGGCCTCGGGGGCCGCGGCAAGGCCAGGGGAGTCTCCGGCCTCAATGGGGAATCTCCGACCCTGCGGGGGCTCCTGGGCACTCATGTCCAGGCCCCGGGGCGCTGTGTGCTGGGGGCGCGGTCAGGCCGCTCGCGGGTGGCCGGGCGCCCCTGCCTGCGCCCGCTCCCGGGGTCAGTG